CAGCTGACGATCAGAACGAGCTACCAGTTTCAGGTACCCGGTCGTCCAGTAGGGCTGATAGCAGTAATGATAAAGGAACAGATCGACGCTTGGGGTTATCCTCAACTCGTGGCACCGAATAATGAAGCCTGTCAGAATGCGGTAGGTGCTGGGCACGAACTGAGCGGGCAGCACAGCAACCCGGCGTAAGAACTCCACTATGAATGAATGGAGAGGGAACCGAAGTCCAGCAGTCAGAGCATCAAGGTGCACTAGCACGTGCCCCGGTCGGTGCCTCATAGGGTGCCGAATGAATCCGGCATAGTATTCTCTTGGTGGGGGCAACAACTGGCTAAGTTGCCGTTCGACATCTTCTGGGAGACGTTGTTTGTGTTTGCGTATACGATTGAAGTGTAGGGCAATGCGGGGTGGCCGCTCGGGCATCCCCTTGTTGTAAACTTGGAGGTCATCTCCGGACAGACATCCGTCCTCCTGTGGCTGTTCGATATGTTTGCTGGCCTGAGGATTGGCGGGTTTAGGTGTTTGGGACGAAGAGCCTTCGGCCTGGTTACCAGCGGATGTTTTGCTTTTGCGAATCAAAGGCATCTCTTCAGATTCTGAGCTAGAGGAGTAGTACATAAAAACGCTGGAGGAACTCTGGGAATTCTAGAGAGAGAAGGCTTGAGAGTATGCAAGGGAATTCTGGGAATTCTAGAGAGAGAAAGCTCGAAAGAAAAATGAGAAAACAGCAGGAGAAATTAGGGGAAGCACCTCTCTATAAATAGGGAAAGTGCCGCACAAATCCCTAATCCATGAGCAACACGTGGCATTGGGTGGTTACGATTAATCTGGGGCATTTATGATTCATTTTTTGTGCATGTACGCCGGACGGGCTTACGGAGGATTAGCAAAGATCACAGGGACTTGCTGTTTAGAAAAATGCTAAGTCCTAAATGTCAACCTGAAGCCCGATCGGCCATCAGTGTTGTAAAAGGTTATCTGAAACCAAACGGCTGTCCTAAAAATTGGTCTGAAAACTGCTAAGTCCTAAAAGTTAACCTGAAGCCCGACCGGTTATCAACGTCGTAAAAGCTATCCTAAGGCTTGATCTGAAACTCGATCGGCTATCAATGTTGTAAAAGAATATCTGAAACAAGAATGTGCCGTCCTAAAAATTGGTCTGAAGCCCGAACGGCTGAGTCCCAGAGAGAGGGGTTTTTTTCCTTAATAAATTATCAGAACTTTCTAATGCCCGAACGGCGATCAACGGCATTAAGAATATTTGAGCAAGAAATAAGTTAGGAAATTGGTTAAGTCCTACAAAACGGGCCGAATCCCGAATGACGAGTAAATCATGCATTAAAGACAGAAAAGAAAATACACAAAGCTTCAGGCAAAAAAGGGATATATATTCATCGGTTCTACTGACCGGGAAGTACAAGTCATTTAGAGAAAAGAGAATTACAACAAGTAATGAAAAAGTACATATAAATTATTGGCTAGGGGCCATTTCATCCCCCTCTTCGTCCTCGTCTTCATCATCATCATCAGACAGGGGCTCAGGCTCTCTCCCAGCAGCCCGATCGGCTTCCCATTGCTGGGCTCGCAGGAATTTCTCGAACTGAGTCTGGATAATGTCATCTGTGGGGAGATCAGAAGCCTGAACCGGCCTCCCCAGATGATTTTGAAGCTGAGTAACGAAGGGACGCAGCAAGACCTGGCCAATTTTGCCATAAAGGTCTGAGACAATGGAGTCGTTCCATTTTTTGGCCTCGGGGTCCTTATCTAAGAGGGCCACCCCTGCCGATAGCCGACCAGCGCCTTTGGGGAAACCCTTCAAGTACGCCCCAAAGGCGAACGGGATTTAGGCCCTTGCATGATCATCCTTGATGATGGAGAATTCATCAGAGGATTTAAACGTGTCCCGGACGGCGGACAGATCCACGTTCACTTCATAGGGACCGTCCGGGATGCTGGATGGCATTTCTTCGAATTTGACCTGTGCGGCCTCAGCAGCAAGGACCTTCGCCTGGGAAGCTGCGAATTGGACCCGAAGGGTACCGAGCTCAGCATCCAGCCTCTGCTTTTCCTCCGCAAAGGCTTTCCGTTCGGCCTCCAGAGAGGCGATGGCGGCAGCAGCATGTTGCTCAGCAGAAGACTGGGCAACAATCAGTTCCCGCTCCTTGGCCAGGCGGGCCTCCCGCATCTGAAGGGTGTACAAACCCATCTACAGAATACCGTTCGAGAGTTAGTACTGATTACAGAGAATAAAATAAAGACAAAGCGCAAAAGACAATGTACCTTCAGAGCAGTCAGAGCCAGACATTCTTCAGATTGCTCGACCGGCAACTAAGGAAGGGAAAAGTTGTTGAACCAAGAGAAGGTCGACCAGATCTGGCTCGCGGTAGAGCCGGCCCTCTCTAATACCTCATGGACAGGGTCGGATAGGGAGATCCGCTCGACCTAACCCGTAATATGGTCGGTATGGGTCTCACCAGCATTCGAGGGTTCCCCCCGAACGGAGTCGAAATGATGAGGAAATTGGTGCAGTTGGTTAGAGCCGAACCGGTCGTCAACCAGCATGGCCTCGAATTGGTCCTGGTGGACCTACTGTATTGGCTGAGGCTCTGGAAGCGGTTCAGAAGGGGCAGCATCCTGAGCGGGAATAATGGTGGGAGTAGGTTGGGGGTTCTTCCGGGATTTTTTCCGCTTACCGGCCCCACCGGCTGCGATAACTCTGCTGTCATCCATAGGTAGATCTGGGTTTGGTGCTGAAAAAAGACAAAGGAGAATGTTAGTATCGAGCGGCCTTAGCGTGTGAGAAACTAGAAAAAGGAATAAAAGAACGTTTCTCGCACGGGAAGGACCGCCCGGACCATGGCACTTGGTTTCTCAAAACAAGTAAACCCAAGAGAATGGGCAGTACCTATCCCGGCCGTAATGAGTTGTTCGGGAGTCAGATAACTCATAATGTCCATGCATTTATCCTTCTCCACAGCAAGCACGTCCTTGTAAATTTCTTCAGTGAGGACAGGATCAGGAGTCTTGCGGGGGGAAGGCATTCCATTTACGGGGAATTAGGTCGTCCGGGACAGACACGAAGAAAAAACGGTCTTTCCACCCTTTGATTGAAGTTGGGTTTCCTTTGAACAGGATGTGTCCCGTTCGGGCACTAGTGGCCAGATAACCGTGGGTTTGTTGGGGGGCTACTTTGAAGAATTGATGGAAGAGTTCTAGGGTTGGTCGGGCGTCGGCATCTTTGCAACGACAAATGAAACCCGCCATTGCCGGATAGGAGTTCGGCATAATCTGGGCCGGTACAACTTCGTAGAAATTGAAGAAAGAAATGAAAAAGGGGTGTAGCGGAAATCTAAGGCCGGCCCTAATTGAGTCAAAGTGGACTATGGTCATTCCGGGCCTATGACGCATTGGGTGAAGTCCAGCTTGCAAACGGAAATCCACCGGGTCAGGGATAAGGGCCGGAATTTCGGCCCTATTGTGAGAGGTCAATTTTTGCCGCCTCTCCCTAATCAATTTTAGGTCAAGGGTATGGCGAGGAACATCGTTGGGACGTCCGGCCGCCATGGAGGCTATTTCGTCCTCGGATTTGGTGTCGTCGGAATCCTCACTGGAGGAAGAAGAAGTGCTAGGGAGGTCCTCCGCCTCAGCCCTGGTATTCGTCGCCGTCTCAGTAGAAACACCGGCAAACGGAACTGTGATGACATCTACGATGGCGGCGTCACGGTCATCTCCATGAGAGGCCATCTCCGAATCAGAGGAATGCTTTTTGGGGCTCATCTCGATCGAAGCCAGAAATGAAGATAGGGAATCCGGAGTTGGGAAATTACCTGAGCCAAGGAAGCAGGGAGAAAATTGCAGAGGAAACAACGAAGGCCAAGGAATTGCAGAGTCGAAACCCGGAATTGAGAAGTTAAAGGCTAATTTATAGCCTTGAAAACCGCCGTGTCGAGAACCAATCAGAGAGCGACACGTCACTAGGAGCATTTAAGCTAAACATGTGTCTAATGAAAAGACTAAACGACGGTTATCATGATGAATATGGGGAAATGAAGCGGCAGCCGTCGAATCGCAGCATGGGGAACTGATTACTTCTGTACCCCGATCGACATTCGGGGTATTATAACATTGATATACTTCCTAATGCACTCACTTCGTTCGAGGCATCGGAAGTGGGGGACTTGTGTTGGGATATTGACCTAGAGGCCCAATACCCAGATCGGGAAGGCCCAAGATATCCGGCCCAAACAACAGGCCCATCACTCTATGATGAATAGATCCAGTAAGAAGACATACCGAACGAGGTTCGGGCTATATATCATACTTGGGGCGATTTGACAGCATCTTCAGTGCAGCCCAACATCCCGTTCGAGCAACGGCCAACTAGCAAGTGGCCAGGTGCAATTAATGCCAGACTATGACATCAGCAAGTGGAAGCATGGATGACCAAGTCAGTGGAACAACGGCCAATCAGCAAGAGGCAGCCCATGCTCTCCATTAGTATAAATAGAAGGTTTCAAGTCATTGTAAGGGTTAGCATTTCAATACTCAAGCTCTAGAATAGCATCATTTGCCCTTACTTCTTGTATTAAAGCATAGTTTCCGACATACCGATCGGGAATTTCCTTGTAATCAGATTGGTTAATTAATACAAGTGAGCTTCTGAGTTTTAGTTAGTTCAGATCTTATATTTTCTTATACGCTTTGATTCTGGGCCATTCCTGATATATCCAAAGTTCGTGTTGGACTTTCGGATCTACGAGATTTACCCTCAACAAGCACATAATATTTACTAATCTAATAAATTTTCATCTTAAATTAAAAATAGAAAAATAACATTATTAATATCTTAAATATTCATCATAAATTAAAATCAATAGAAAAAGTAGTTAAGAAAAAACGAAAAAGAATAAAAAAAAGAACTGCATAAAAAGCAAAAAAAGATGATTAAGAAAAAACACTATGGTTGAAAAGCACTTGTATATAAAGAATTACAAAAATATAGGACTAGCATCGCACGTCCGCGTGTCCAGCATAATTTGCCAGCAAACCTGCAAGCCGGCAACATCTCTTCGGGACTATATTTGCTCCGCCAGCTAAATTTTGCAACAAAAACCTTTCGTTGACTCGTCAGCAGGCATGGCTATGGAAATAGATTCAGCAAAACCGACACAAATGAAAGACGATGACCTATTCAAGGCCGCTGAATCAGGCGATTCTGAGCTTTTCAAATCTCTCTCCGAAGACCAGCTTGTCAAAGCCCTTGCTCTCCGCAACGAAGATCGCCGCTCTCTTCTTCACGTTGCTGTCTCTTCAGCCCACGCGGAGGTCCCTTATTTTAATTCCTCATTTTCCATCATTTATGCTCCGTAGTGAGTTATTTTTATTATAGTCGAAGTCGAAGCGGAATATAGTACAATTTTATTTTCTGCATGGCTACAAATCAAATCTGTAGAGTTACAACTGTGTTTGAGAAATGGAGTTATGTTTACCCATACAGTTTGTACAGATAGGATGCGAACAGTTCTATGAATTGAAGGCTTTTGTTTTTTAAATGCAGATAATAGGCGGTCTTCAGATAACCTTTTCGTTTTCATAAAGCCAATTCTTTTCGTAAAGGAAAACTAGAATGTTGAAAGTTTTTATGCTTTTTGTCTGAATTGTTAACCCTGGTTGTTTAAGACCTACCTCATTTTGTGGATTAATCAGGTTGTGAAGATACTGTCTGCTGCTGACTCTTCAGTTAGTGGCATAAACTGTGGAGATGAAGAAGGTTGGGTACCCCTTCACTCTGCTGCAAGTAGTGGGAATATAGACATTGTGGAGATTTTGCTTAGCCGAGGTCAGAAGAAAAAGATTTCTCTGGTTTTAATTCTTTTTCTCTCAATTGAGTCCTCATTTGACCTTCGTATAAAAAGAAAATGTCTTGCTAGTTATCTCCCAACAATATGTGAATTTAATTCAAGAAAGACCTAGGAGCAAAAGAATTATTGCCTGAGTAGTGAATACCGAATTTTCTTGGATGACGTAGTAAGCGGATTTACATTGTAGCGGGGCTATTTTCTATTTGTGTAGAAGATACAAGAATCAAGTAACTGTAAGAACAATAATCATACACATATTACTACCTCAATTCCAAAAAGAGATTTGTTTTTTATACTAAAGATGTTTTCACTTGTCTGAAGTTTTCTGGTTCAGTCTGGTGTTAGATTGAAACAAGTCAAAGTGAAAGCATCCTAAAAGCAGTACTATAAGCAGAACTCTTTTTTGGGGCTGCATTGGGGTGTACTAATGAGTTATGTGCTTTGGTTTTGCTGATATATGCTGTATTATTTAGTATACATGTTTATTTCATCTTTCAATTTTAATTCTGTTAAAATCTGAATGTGGGTTATGGCCATAGGTAAAGCCAGGAGCGTCAGCATGAAGAGAATTTTGAGATAAATTTGTACATAATTTTTTTACATAAAGATTCAAAGCCTTTTCCAAATTTGGAGTGGGCCTCGGCCTAGTATGACCCCTACTTATGCCCTTGATTATGGCCTTGAAGAATGAAAATCCAATTTTCAATCGGGGGAAGGAATGTCGCTAATGACTAATGAAGTACATACGTGTGTATATGTGCCATCAGCCATGTTCTTCACTTCTGAATCTACTTTTGGACATGCAAATTTAAACACTGATGAACTGGACAGGAGCTAATGTGAATTTAAAGAATGATGGTGGTCGCACTGCTCTGCACTATGCTGCAAGCAAAGGCCACCTCAGGATAGCTGAAATTCTGATTTCGCACAATGCGAAGATCAATGCAAAAGACAAGGCTCGTACCTTCAAAACCACTACTACTACTACTACCACTACTACATTATCTGCCTCTTTGGATTGACATTTAGTGCTAATCAGTTCCGTTTATTATTGTTAATAGGTTGGGTGCACCCCATTGCACCGTGCAGCCAGCACAGGGAACTCTGAGTTGTGCGAACTCTTAATTGAGGAGGGAGCAGAAGTGGATGAAGTGGACAGAGAAGGGCAGACTCCTCTCATGACTGCTGTTGTATGCCACAATAAAGATGTGAGTTTGTTTGTTAATACAAATTTGTCTTCTAAAACCATAACTTTGTCCTTTTCACTGTTTTTTGTTTTGTTTTGGCCATTGTTCTGTCGAATGAAGCTTTCTGAATCTGGATGGGGATGTAGCATTTTGTCTGAGTTCGTTTAGTGACAGACCAAGTATTTAAAACAAAATAGGCATTCTTATGAAAAAAAGGAAACCAAAAAAGTATGCATAGATGTTGAACCTTTATATGACAGGCAGCCCTGCTTCTTATAAGACATGGAGCAAATGTTGATGTCGAGGACAAGGAAGGCTACACTGTGCTTGGCCGAGCTTCAGATGATATTCGGCCTTTGTTAATTGAAGCTGCTAAGACGATGCTTGAAGGATGAACTCTAAAAATTACACAGGCTAACTATTATCAGCGCTTCAGCGTGTGAGCTTTTATTAGACCATAGCCAGCAGATTGTTGTGATGAATATTGTCCTCAATGTTAGACCACCTTTCCTGCTTTTGCCTACAACTTGAGTCGATCTTTCTACAGTTATGATGCTCCAAGTGATGTTAGAGAGCGAGCCCTTTAAATATGTAGGGAATTTGAAAATGCAGTATTTTTTCCTGAAGTATCTTTCCCTTGATTGTTGGATGTAGGGGTGTGGGGTGGGCGTTGTCAGTAATGCGCATTTGATCTTGGATTCTTGGTGCTCCGGTTTTTAATTCACAATCCTTTAACTTGATGAACTATCCTTGCATTTGATCTTTTTTTAGGGAAAACCGTCAAATTAGTCTACGTACTATCTTGAAAAAGTCAATTAAGTCCACGTTCTATTTTATCGATCAATTGGGTACACAAAGTCTCAAATTTTAACCAATTTTGCCATTTGACCGGTAAACGACTTGTGACCCTTTTTATTGCTGACACCTAAGCTTTTTTAATACTTTTTCCTTTTTTTCCTTTCCTTTTTCCCTTCTTTTCCCTTTTAATTTTCTTTCCTTTTCCCTTTTTTCCTCTAGTTAATCGTCCCCCTTATTCATCAGCCGCCGGCAACTCCCCCCTTCTTCATTCCTTTTTTTTTTCTTTTTTCCCCTTCTTCTCCAATCTCCCTGCAACTACCTCGTCCCTATTCTTCAATCTTATCTTTTTCTCCACTGCTTGTACCCCATGCCCAATTTGCTTCTGATCTTGATCGAGCTAGTCAAAATCAATTAGCAAGAGGTCAATGATTGCGCGAATTGCTTAAACAATCCCAATCCGCTCCCTTTACTCTTGCAATCTTGCCCACCCCCTTCTCCTTTCCCTTTTCTTTCTTTATTCCTCTTCCTCTTTCTCTTCTGATCCACTCAACCTTCTATCCACCTTCTATGCCCAGAGAAGGCAACCTGATGGAAACCCGATGAAAACCCTTGCTCTTCTTCGATGGCAACCAAATGGCGACGGGGAAGGTGGCGGTGGAGACTGACGCCGATGGTGATAATGGTGGCAGAGCTCGACGGGGTTGACGGCAGCAGTGGTCGACGAAAGAAAAGAGAAAGAAGGTAGAGATGAAGAGAATAAGAATAGGGGGAGAAAGATGAAGAAAGATGAAGAGTTGCAGGGAAAAGGAGAAGGAGGCTCTAAGAGCATCTTTAATGGGAGCATGAATTGATTAAAATGCACTGTCACATAGACAAAGAAAATAATGAAAACATTGGAATAAAAAAAAGCTCTCCAAGGGAACCGTCCATTTTAAACCTGTTGCTGAGTTGGAAATAAAAATGATGCACACCGTCTCATACGATGACTACTTTCAGAAAGTCTGATTAACATCGTGGCTCAGCAAACGTAATTTTTTTATAGAAGCCTTTGAGCTAGGGTTCGACTCGGGCCGGGTGGCCCGACCCGGAACCGGCCCGGGACCGGTACTGTTCCGGCCCGGTCAGTGACCGGTCCGGGTAGGCCCGACCCGGTGGGTTTCCGGTCCGGGCTCGGGTCACCCATAACAAGGCCCGGGTCCGGTTCGGGCCAAATTTATTTTTTTTTTTGGTTTTTTTCATTTGTTTGGGCTCCACCGGGTTGGGCTTGATGTTTAGGAGGGGTTTGGGGGTGGGGGGTGAGGGGGGGGGGGTCAGGGATGGGTAGCTAAGCAAAAAAAAAAAAAATAACCAAACCCGAGGCCCGGCCCGGCCCGGCCCGGACCCGGACCGGACCCGGTGGCTACCCAGGCCGGTCCCGGGTCCAGCTATATAGAACCGCCGGCCCGGCCCGGGCCCGACCCGGCCCGAGTCCAACCCTACTTTGAGCATAACTGACAATATTTTTGCACAATCATATCATCACACATCTCAAAAAGGTCAAGAACGAACTACTTTTTCACACTTCAGAAGTAACGAAGGCCATACCATCTCCGGCTGTACAAAACTTGAAGCTTTCAACGTATTTTTAAATTTTTAAAGAACCATTTGAGAGTCTGCAGCATGCATATATGCCTATTGCTCCTATAAATAATCAAAAGGAATCATCCAATTAACTCCAACTTACATATTCCGTATAAAAGTGATTCTAGAGGTTGGGGAGATGAGGTCTTAACCTGCGATTGTTGTGTGGTAAAAAAAATTATGGATCTATTTACCAATTATCTCGGAAGATTCTATGGTAGAAGATGAAATATTAAATACAGAGTAACTACGTGCCGGTGCTTTTTAGACGGAAACGAATGATTGCATTGGAGAGAAAATGTTATTTCAACTGTCTGTGTCCACATAAGTTCCATAGACCTTCTAAACGAGTGACGAGTCCATATTTAATGGGGTGCAATCCACACTCTTGTTAAAGATGCTCCAATGGTCGGGCCAAATCAACGCTTACAAGGGAAAAAAGGCCACATGGATGTCTATGTAGGCAGATTAACAGGGAAACCGGTCAGTCACCGGATAAAAGGCAAAATTGGTCATTTTTTGTAACTTGGTAGACTTAATTGGTTGAAAAAATAGTATGTGGAATCAATTGACTTTTTTGACATAGTAAATGGACTGATTTGACAGTTTTCCCTTTATTTTATTAACTAGTAATCCACCCGTGCGTTGCACGGGATGTAATTATAGTTATTATACATATAACCAAATAAACATTTTTAAGAATATGCACATAGAATTAAGGGAAAAGTACATAAAAGGTACTTGTAATTGGGTCCGTTTTCAGATAGAGGCCTGTGTTTCATTCTTTATCAAAGTAGTTCATGTGTTTGAATTCCGTTATCACAAAAGGGTCACGCCGTCAAAAACGTTTGAAAAAGGCCGTTAAAAGTAACCCCGATTTTCAAAAGTGCCCAAAAAATTAAAAGAAAAATACCGAAATGTGCGCTTCGTCAATATGACCTCCAAATCACCTCCGCCTTTGAATTTTCAGATCTGATTGAATTATTTTTAAAAAAGATTTCGCTAATATCACTTTTTCGATAGACTTTTTGGTGATAAGGGTGGCTGAAAACAAAACAGAAAGATGGTCTAGCGGTCGTCTTATTGAGGCGCATCTTCCGGTATTTTTATTTTAATTTGTCTGGCACTTTTGAAAACCAGAGTTACTTTTAACGGTCTTTTTCAGACGTTTTTAACGACGTGACCCTCTTGTGATAACGGAATTCAAACACATGAACTACTTTGATAAAGAATGTGATGGAGTATATGGGTCTGAGCCCCCGGACCCACATACTCGGAAGAACAGAAAGCACAAGACACAGAGTGGCGCCCTCGTCGGTCAAGACGCCCCCGTCGGCCGAAAAGGTGCCAACTCAGATTATGGTCCTGAAGCCAAGGAACCCGGGTGCCCTCGTCGGCCGCGCCCTCGTCGGCCGTGCCCTCGTCGGCCACGCCCTCGTCGGCCACGAAGACTCCACAGAACCGGATTCTACACTTACTTATTTGTACAGCCCATTAGTGGCTTTGTATTCGGCCCAGTAGCGGTCCAGTTGTAAATGGGCCTCCCAAGCCCATGGCTTGGGAGCCCAGCCCGTATTTTCTCTATAAATACTCCCCTTGGGAGTAGTTATAGGGGTTAAAAAAATCATTCTATTGAAGCATATTATTGCACTTCTCTCTCTAGCTCTCACTTCTCTCTAGAGATATACTCTATCATTTGGTGCTCTCGTTGAGAGCTAGAACAATCAAGTTAGTACCCTTCGTCGCTACCAGGCACAGCTAACCACTGATCATGGGGAGAACTAAGTCAAACCGCAACCTCGTCAGCAAAGTCATCCCTGAGGACCAAGAGCCCAGGGAGCACGATGAGGACGCCACGGCCGACCAGGCCGGCGGAGGGGACCTCTTCCAGGAGGCCTTCAACCTCACGACGGACCTCCGCAACCAACTCAACGGCGGAGTCCCCGACGCCCGCCTCGGCTTGGACAAGAAACGAGCTGAGAAGACGGACCACGCCACGGCCCAGCCTATGGCCGCGGCCTCTCCGTCCGTGGATCCGCAGGTCCAGGCCGCGCTGTCGGTCATCATCGCCAGCCTGGCTCAGAACCCCACCGTCCTCAGCGCACTCTTGCCAAGGACCGGGGGGAACGTCACTCAACCTTCTCAGCCCCAACCGTTGGCCGTCCGGATAGGCAACGATGAGGGGGTGGTGCCCCAGGACATGGCGTTGTCCCACTCCCACCCTGCTTCCCCTCTTCGGCCTGGGCAGACCCCAGCGCGTGGAAAAGCCTCTGCCTTCAATAGGCTAGGTGACACGCGCCGTCGTCCGGTTTCGGAGAGGATGGCGGGACGGATTGGTGAGCCTCGTCCTGGCTCGCCGAGGGAAAGCTTGGGGTCTGTGTCCCGGACAGCGGATCAGCCCCGCCCGGACAAGGGCAAGGGAAAGTTGCATGAGGATGACGTGCGCCACCAGATCAACGCGGCTCACAACGAGCGCATGAGGAACCAGCCGGGCGCCGCTGCGGCCACTAGGGACCCCCGGGACGAGGTCATCGCCCAGCTGGAAAGGAAGCTGGCTCAGATGGAGGCCAAGCAGTCGGCCAACATCCCTACGGCCGGCGCCTCCAACGACCCCGGCCTCAACGCGCTCATGAACAAGGTTAGCGCCCTGGAGAGGGAGATGGCCGAGGGGCGAGGTGACCCCATCATCCAGGTCAGGACCAGGACCCCTTTCACCAACACGGTCCTCTCGGCCCCCATCCCGGAGAAGTACAGGGGGAACGCCATCAAGTCCTACGACGGCCGATCAGACCCCTAGGAACACTTCAGCCGTTACCAGAACAACATGCTGATGGTGAACGCGTCCGACGAATACCTCTGCCGTTGGTTCCTCTCTACTCTCGAGGGGCCAACGTACGAGTGGTTCAACGCGCTCCCCGAAGGGAGCATCGACTCATGGCAGGATCTCGCCCAGCGCTTCCTCACTCACTTTGCCGGGAGGAAGCGCGCGAAGAAGTATTTCACCCACCTCCTCTCCGTCAAGCAGCAGCACGAGGAGTCCCTCCGATCATTCATTGATTGGTGGACGAGGGAAACCGAGGAGGTCGAGGGGGCCGATGAGCGCACCCTCTTCGCCTTGTATCAGGGAGCCCTCCACAGCTCCCCATACGCCAGGAGCCTCATCACCGACCCCCCAAGGTCGTACGCCAAGGCGCTTCAGCGCGGAGGCTTGTATGCCGACGC